TTTGTGGTACGCGGGCCTCCCACCGCTGCGGCCTCTCCCGTTGCGGACCACAGGCTCCGGACGCGCAGGCCCAGCGGCCATGGCTCATGGGCCCAGCCGCCCCGCAGCATGTGGGATCTTCCCGAACCGGGGCACGGACCCGCGTCCCCTGCATCGGCAGGCGGACTCTCAACCGCTGCACCACCAGGGAAGGCTGAGAAGAATATTTTTTATTATTCTCACTTTAACCAAGAAGAAACATGAGTCTGGAGGGTTCAGTTCAGTAACTTGCTCAAATTTTTACAACTTGGAAGTGACAAAGTTGATGTTGAATCTCAGGTTCTCTGACCCATTTATCTTCCTGAGCTACCTTCCAAGGTTGGGCTGGGATGTGTAGGTCTGCAGTTCCCGCAAGATCAAATGACTAGGGCTGGGGAAGTGGGCAAGGAGCTGGGGCCCTCATGGGGCAAAGTCATTAACCGCCGTGGTTCTGGAAGCTCATTCCTGGTCCAACCAGGCCACTGGGCTGGAAGCTTCATGGACCCGGAGGTGTGTGCAGGTTTGCTGCCCGTATTTTAGCGGTTTTCCTCCCAAGACCGCCGAGGCTCCCTTGTGTTTCCTTGCTCCTTCAAGGCTGTTTTGATTTCACCCACTTGACAATGTTGAGGGATAGAGTGGGGCAGACAGAGAGGCCCGTGAGGGAGTCCTCAGAGTCCTCGTGTCCTCTGCTCCCAGACAGATGCCTGCTCAGGCCTGCAGGGCTTCCTCATCTTCCACAGCTTTGGGGGCGGCACCGGCTCCGGCTTCACTTCTCTGCTGATGGAACGCCTCTCCCTGGATTACGGCAAGAAGTCCAAGCTGGAGTTCGCCATCTACCCAGCCCCCCAGGTGTCCACGGCCGTGGTGGAGCCCTACAACTCCATCCTGACCACGCACACGACCCTGGAGCACTCGGACTGCGCCTTCATGGTCGACAACGAGGCCATCTACGACATCTGCCGCCGCAACCTAGACATCGAGCGCCCGACGTACACCAACCTCAACCGCCTCATCAGCCAGATCGTGTCCTCCATCACGGCCTCCCTGCGCTTCGACGGCGCCCTCAACGTGGACCTCACCGAGTTCCAGACCAACCTGGTGCCCTACCCCCGCATCCACTTCCCCCTGGTCACCTATGCGCCCATCATCTCGGCCGAGAAGGCCTACCACGAGCAGCTGTCCGTGGCCGAGATCACCAGCTCCTGCTTTGAGCCCAACAGCCAGATGGTGAAGTGTGACCCCCGTCACGGCAAGTACATGGCCTGCTGCATGCTCTACCGGGGGGACGTGGTGCCCAAGGATGTGAACGTCGCCATTGCCGCCATCAAGACCAAGAGGACCATCCAGTTTGTCGACTGGTGTCCCACAGGCTTCAAGGTGAGAGCTGGTGACTCGGTGGAGACAGACAGCTAGAGAAGCAGAGGGAGACACCAAGGATGGGGAGAAAGAGGTGGACACTCAGGGTCTTGGACTGATGCACATTCCTTGGGAGCTCTGGGATGAGATGGGAAGAGGGGCTTAAGCCAAATGTAACACTAATTTCATTCATTAATTCGTTCATTCACTTCTTTTAGGTCAGGAGAGATTTTGAGAGGATTATTGGAAGAGGGGGAGGGCACTAGTGCAGTAGGGAGAAGGGCTCCACCTCTCCTGCCCTAAGATCCGCAGACATCTCAAAGGTCAGGCAGAAAGGACTTTCCTCTTACAGGGAGGAGTGAACGGCGCTGGAACGAACTTGTGTGCGAGTGGAATGAGGAGGATGACTGGGCGGAAGTAGCCGTGATCTGACGGTAGATCAGAGAATATGCAGCAGCCAGATTATTTAAGGTGCCGGAGAGGCATAATTCCCTCCTCTAACACATCTAAAGATGTGTTCTTCTCTCCCCAGCTTATTTTGAAAAATTATTCGCCCTGTAAGTTTTCATCAGTTTAGAGTAAGGATAAGAAATTTCATGGTTATCATATGGTTGTGATTCACATTATGAAGCCCTGACATTTCCACTAACCGGGAGTGAGCTGGGAGCCTGTTGTAGGTCTGCGGTCTGGGGAACACCAGACTCTGAGGGTTGGTGTGGGTACACAATAGCCAGGGAAGACCCCCAGCTCCCGGGACCAGAAGATGTCGAGCATTGGAAGCCACCCCCCTGAGTCGCCCTGGCCGGGCAGGCAGCTGCCCCTGCACTCGTGCCTGCTTGACTGCTTTGTCCTGTGTCCCACGGTCTCATCCGAGTCCACCATCAAAGCAGCTGCCACCATTCATGTTAATTAGACCCCTGGCAGGCCTTTAATAATTTAGAGGTTTGCTGAACACCAGAGGTGGTTGTGACAGTTGCTCGAGACAGAGATGAGCACGTCTCAGCTTTCCCTGCTGGGACTTAACGGAAACAAGACACCTCATGCTGGCTTCTCAGCTGAGAGGCTGATGGCAGGGAGCATTTCCCACCCTGCTCTGCTCCCAGCCACGTACAGAATCCTTTCCCCTGGACTGTGCCTATTTTTATGTGGCAGTTCTGATCACTCTTGCGAAAACATTCAGGATCTTCCCCCAAGTTGTTGGGTTTTTTTCTTTCAAATGGAAACAAGCAACAAAACAAGCTAGTAGTAAAATGAATAGGCAAAAAAAAAAAAAAGAATGAGATGTGAGGGTGGTGGAGAAATTAACAAAAAGGACATATGCCCCTGTATTCTTGCCCCTTTATTTTAAGCTGAAGCTCTGGGGTTATGACCAGAAAGATAAGGCAGTGCTAGAACCTGTAGCTGCTTCTCAGAAAAGCACTTGCCATGGGGGTGGATGGTGTTGAACTTCACCCTGTAGCATCCTCCCCAGTGTCAAGGGATGCTACTGCTGAAAAGAGAGCACAGTTGGCTGGTCTAGTGAAATATGTCATGTGGCATTGCCTTCTCCCTTCTCCCTTTGGTCCTTTGCCCCTGTCTCAGCATCACCTCCACCCTCAAGATGCCACTTTTGTTTAAGAGGAATGATAGATCATTGTGAATTCATTTAGTGGGTTACCCACCTTGGCTGTACAGCTGCTGCCACTCCCACCACCACCTCTCAGAGGACATGATTTTAAAGCTATGAATTTAAGAGATTGGCAGTTAAGACCTGGTGGCCTGGTGGAGAGGCATTTTGGGGCCAGCTCCATGGTTCTCAGTGTCCCATGAGTATTATCACAGTCATCACCTGAGGCCCCTTCCAGGTTCCTAGAGTTCCTGGTGTCGGCTCCAGTTTGGGGTATGTGTGGGGAGAAGGGAGATTTCTGGGATAGTAGCCCCCTCATCAGGTTGGGCTGGATCAACTTGGAGGACCCTCCATGCTGCCAGAACTTGGGGGATTGGCTCATCCAGCAAGAGTTTTAATTGACTTTCTTTGATTTCCATGCTTTTCTTCCAAGAAACCCCACTCCCCAGAGATAGAGGGCCTGGTAAATGCTGACACCATCCCCAGAACCTTTTGCATCTCTTTATTTATTGCTTGAGAATATCTCCCTGATATTTTTTAAAAATTGATTAATTAATTAAGTTTTGGCTGCGTTGGGTCCTCCTTGCTGTGCACGAGCTTTCTCTAGTTGTGGCGAGCGGGGGCTACTGTTCGTTGCAGTGCACCGGCTTCTCATTGCAGTGGCTTCTCTTGTTGCAGAGCACGGGCTCTAGGCGCGCAGGCTTCAGTAGTTGTGGCTCGTGGGCTCTGGAGGGCAGGCTCAGTAGTCGTGGCGCATGGGCTTAGCTGCTCCGTGGCATGTGGGATCTTCTTGGACCAGGGCTCGAACCCGTGTCCCCTGCACTGGCAGGTGGATTCTTAACCACTGAGCCACCAGGGAAGTCCTCTCCCTGATCTTTTAAACAGCCCTTCACCCTTGGCAGAGAAACTGCCCTAAACCCGTTGACAGCATAACTAAGAGGAACCCGAGATACCTTTGGAAGGAGTGAACTTATGATGACCTCCGTCTGCTGACACTGCACACATGCCCTGCTTGACCCCCTGTTCCCTACCCTCATTTGTCTGCTTGAGCCTCCCACTAGGGTTTCCACCAGCCCTTCCCCTCCCCTTGAGTTTCCCGGCCCGGTGCCGCTTGCTTTTGCTTTCTCTCCCACACACGCCTCTCTACCCACCCGCCGTCCCACCTCCTGATCCCCTCTTCACATCCAGGCCTGCTGCCCCACCCACCACGTGACCAAGGTGTCCCAGCTTGCGTTGTCCGCTGACTGCCGCATCTTAACCCTCTGTTCCCCAGGTGGGCATCAACTACCAGCCCCCCACGGTCGTCCCCGGGGGAGACCTGGCCAAGGTGCAGCGGGCTGTCTGCATGCTGAGCAACACCACGGCCATCGCTGAGGCCTGGGCTCGCCTGGACCACAAGTTCGACCTCATGTACGCCAAGCGCGCCTTCGTGCACTGGTACGTCGGCGAGGGGATGGAGGAAGGAGAATTTTCCGAGGCCCGGGAGGACCTGGCTGCCCTGGAGAAGGATTATGAGGAAGTGGGGGCCGATTCTTTTGAAGAAAACGAAGGGGAGGAATTTTAAATACAAACGTTCCTCGTGGCTGTGTCTCTTTATTCCAAGCACGTTTAACTTTCCCTAGAGCAGCAGACCCCTGCCTGGGTCCCGACACCAGTACCTGTGGGTGACGGGTCCAGCATGGACGCTGAGCTCTGCCAGACCCTCCCGCGGGAGAGCGCAGCTCCATGTCCGCAAAGGAAATGAGAGTCACTGTCTCTGGGTTAGGGTGCAGGCCAGTCACACCTGTGCGGAGACCTGAGCGGGATTTAAAATTCTCTGTTAGGCTGGGCTCACCCCAAACACAGCCTGCTGGCTGGGGAGCAGAAAGGTGAGATCTGGGCGCGGGGGAGATTCTGGAAAGGGAGTGTTCTCAGAGTTAGAGTTAGAAGCAAGAGCCCATTTCCTGCCCTTGTGAATACACAGATAAACGAGTGGGATCATTCCAGACAGTGTTCAGTGCTGTGAAACGAAAAAGCAGTGATGGGAGAAGTGGGTGGCAAGCTCAGAAGAGGCCTCGTGGAGACCCGGGTGCAGCTCGGAGCCACCGCGGAGGTTCTGGAGTCAGAGCACGCCGGGTGGGTGTGTGAAGAGCAGGGAGGAGGTGAGGGTACCTGGAGGATGGAGGTGAGGGGTGCGGCCAAGAGCCACGCGGGGTGCAGGGCACACTTAGGCTAACCCTGCACAGGACGTAAGGAGCTTAGGTTTTCTCTAGGTGAAACACAGCATTTCTGTTTGGAATTTGGAAGGTTTTAAGCAGAATACCTACTATGCTTTATATACACATATGCCTTATCTCTAACCCCCAACCACCTCAAAATGGATATTCTTCTCATCTTACGGCTGAAGACGCTGAGGTGTAGGGAGTTTATATGCTGGAGACACGAAAGGTCACGGGCCAAGAGGCTGTTCTCTCGGCTACCCCGCCCTCTTTCCACCGCTGGTGTTTGCGTCCGGTTCCAACTGCTGCCTCATAAAATGAAGGGTGGGGAGAAGCAAAGTCCATTTATTACAAAGGAGAGGACAAATTAATGCATCTCTTCCCTGAAGTTGGCAGCTCCGGTAGGATTTTTGGAAAAATCAAAAGGCTACTCTGATTAAACTACTGATAAGACACCCAGGGTCGGGCCCGTAGCAGGTCCCTGTGCATTCAATGTACAGCTCGTCAGCTGTGGACTTT